GAAAGAGCCCCCTGTTCCTCACTGCTGCCCGGGACAGGCTGCAGAGAGAGCCCCCTGTACCTCACTGCTCCCCGTGACAGTCTGCAGAGAAAGAGCCCCCTGTACCTCACTGCTGTCCGGGACAGGCTGCAGAGGGAGCCCCCTGTTCCTCACTGCTCCCCGTGACAGTCTGCAGAGAGAGCGCCCCCTGGACCTCACTGCTCCTGGTCTAAGAGAGCAATGCTGCTTCGAGGGCAGGCTGCAGGGAGAGCCCTCAATGACCCCGGGGCGAGGGGAGCAGTGCTGCTTTCAGGGCAGGCTGTAGAGAGAGAGCCCTCACTGCCCCAGGGCATGCTGCAGCGAGACTCTTCCCAGGGCTATGGGAGTAATGCTTCAAGGGCAGACTGCAGAGACGCCCACAAACTCTGCACCCAGTTCCCTGGGATCCCAAACAGCCCTCAGTGGACCAGGAGAGTTCTTTCCAAAAACAGGCTGCACTTGCATCCAAACGCTGAACCATTAACATAGACATCTCCTCCCAAATGGGAATGTCTGTCACTTGCTGCATAGTGGCCACCCTTCCCAGACGGGGACAGGAGCATTTCACTGCAATCGAGGCAAGTTGAACCTGCAACAAGAAAATGTCCCAATTCCAGCCCCCACCCTAGCGCTGCATCTTGCAGGCATTTAAAATGCGCGTATTTGTCGCGAATGCACTTATATCCACGTGAAAGACAAAATACAAGTATTACATCCGCCGTGTAACACTGGTAACTTATCCCTCGAATTCCGAAGGACGTGGCATGGCTAGTTTCGGCGTAAGAGATCCAACACAGCGTTCACATCGGAACAAAGAAAAAGCGCAACAGTACCCCGCAAAAGTAGGATTTCCTGTGTTCTTTTAACACCAAGCAAACAATCACAATTCCAGGTTTCATTTGCGTTTTGTTAGGACTGTTCACGCCTACACCCTTCCAGAAAGTAAAGTAAAAAACTCCAGTCGTTTTAGTACGTATTATGCAGTTCTTGTAAATGATACTAACAACTATCCACAGTAACTTCGCTACTTGATGCATTTGAAATTACTTGACTTATGCGGCTAATATGCAACCTTAGGAAGTGCCTGTACAAAGTATTTTATTCAAATACAATGAATATAATATCGTGAAGAAATGTTCCAAATCCCAGGGAAGCATTGGATAGAGTAAAGCTATGATTTTTTTGCTACATTTCTTACTGCCAGAAAGCACATTTGGCACAATCTGTCTATGAAGTTAGCAATTCACTAGAACACTTATTGAGCAGAATAGTTGAAGAGAAGTCAAGATATCCGTGCATTGTTTTAAACACTGCCCCAAAAATCATATAACACACTCGATCTTTGAAAGGAGGCAAGCCCGATTTCACTCGTCATCTGCAATGGACCCTTGCTGCAAGGAGCATAATGAGCCAAGGCCGATTTGTGTCGAACTGGAGCCTGGATAACTTTTTTGAGTAACTCGGCTGAAAGCTCAGAGTACCATCATCATATGAATGACCATGTTATACTCCAGTGTGATTATCGAGCAAATAAAAAGCGAGTTTCTGATCACAAATGCAATATTTTTATCGACCTCTATATGAATGGTATCCGTTGATTTGCAGACTTGTACTTTGAGCTTGATAAAAATCAATTAATTATAACTTCTAGGGCCTTACTTTGTAAAGCACAAAGCTGCACACAGGTCAGTTTGAGACTGGTCTCATACCTTGCCTTTATCTTCGCTAACAGTTTAGTGTTTATAATCACTAAGGTGAACTTTACTTTT